AAAATATATATAAACAAAAAAAATTATATTATTTTTTAATTTTTATCCTTGTATATCTCATCAATGTCATTTAAGTAGTAATAAATTATCCAACAGTTCAAAATTTAGTGATCAATAAATACCAAATTAATAATATGACTAAAATTTTATATTTTAAAAAATAAGAAATTAAATATTTTTATTTTAAAATAAGAAAATAAAAATTACAGATTGACAAAGGATTAAAAGTACAAATTAACATTTACTTTACATATATTATCAATATATAAATTATATTATCAATTAATTAGAAAATATTTTAAGAATAATTCATAAAATAATTATTGGAGAAGTTAATACTATATGTAACTTTCTATTATTCAACGATAGTATAAATAGGGCGAAGTTAAAACATTTTTCTTTGAAGAGGTTAAATAAAAAATTTAAATTAAATTTGAAACTAATATATTAAATCTAATTAACAATTTGAAGATTCATAATAATTAGCCATACATCATGAACATTATAACTATATAAATTAAACAAAGATACGAAACTATAATATTGTGGTAATCAGTTTCTTAAATTCAAGTAATTAAGCTGTTTGGATATATATAACGTTCAAAGTTTTTAAAGCATAACTTATTTTTAAATTTTGTAAAGGTGAAATTTAATTATTCATATATATGAGAATAATAATAATAATAATTACATTTTTTATTCAATAAAAATGAAAAATATTACAATCAAATAATATTCTTTTAATTAGCTTTATAAAGATATATTTAGGAAACAAAGGGAAAGGCTTACAAAATGATAGTTGTTTCTATAAATATTAATAAAGAAGATAAGTTATTTTGGTATCTACATTTTTTTTAACTCTTTTGCTCAACTAATATTTACAACCACTTCACTATTATAAAATTAATTACAATCTCATTTTATTATTAGCGGCCTCATTTTCCATATTATTTTTTAAAAGATTATCCATATTTAGTGATTTATATGAGAAAAAAGGACAGAGACGTAAACAATATAAGATGTAATAGAGAAATGTGACTTTTTTTTTTCATTTTGTAATAATCTAATATAAAGATATTTTGTATGTGTAATGTTTTTTTTTTTGGGAGGGAAGGGGAGGCAAGTAGAGACTTTTCCCCTAAGTATACACAAACTCTAGGGCTAGGCTAGCAATATATTTAAACTAGGATTTTTACGAATCAAATTGAATCAGTTTTGAGTAAAAAAAATCATTTGATCAAAAGAATTAGCAATTCGATTTAAATTAAATGACCTTCTAAAATTAAATACAGTACTATGAATAGTTAGTAAATAATCATAATTAAAATTTCATCTCAATAATTCACTTTAAAATTTAATAAAATCTTTATTATATAGTGTAGCAAGCGGTACCATCCCTAGTTAGCTACGATGTATAAAAGAAAATATCAGTTAAGAAACTAATTGGTAACTAATTAAATTAAGTAACGATTTTATAATACATATGATATAACAAGGAATTAATATATTTGAAGAGAAAAAGAAGCACAACAAAATTACTATGTACAATTTGAAGGACAGTGCATTGGATGTGGTCAATGATTCCATGATAACCTGTCCTTATTCTCGGAGGACATCATTGCCACTAGCAACCACATACAAAAAGCGATTCCTTCAGCTATGCTCATCAACTTCAAAAAAAAAAAAAAAAAAAAACACCGAAGACAGTGCATTGGATGTGGTCAATGATTCCATGATAACCTGTCCTTATTCTCGGAGGACATCATTGCCACTAGCAACCACATACAAAAAGCGATTCCTTCAGCTATGCTCATCAACTTCAAAAAAAAAAAAAAAAAAAAAGCCGAAGCATATGGCACACTGCTTTTAAAGCATTTTGTGTCCTCCTTGTAAGTTTGGTTATGAAATTTTAGTATTGTGTCTGTCTAGTGTCTACCCCAGCAATACTCATGTGAAGGAAATTATTCTATCCTTGTTGCCAAGCCATTCGTCCATTCTTTGACCTTATTTGCAGAAAGCTTGGTTTTTTCTGAAAGACAAAAAATTCTCACAATCAATACACAGCAAAACGCTCAAACATATACAAAAGAAGGAAACACGTACGTGGATAAAACAATTGACACAGGCTATTAATAACGGTTTTATCACTTGTTAACAATCACACTCACCACGGTTATTAGTACACACACATGCAAGAGACATCATAATCAACACCACAAATCTAAACAATCGAGAATGGTTCGTTGCGACAGTATGAAATTGACGATGTCTCTATAAGTTATTTTAATTTTTAAATTCGGTTACCTCCCAAAGGTTTGGGGCGCAGGTAAAATAATATTTTCTTGGTCACTTTGACAATAATGTTCAACCATTTAAACTAATACTATTGAGATCTGCGTTGCACACAGAATCTTAAATCCACTTCCACGATTCCAGAATAATCCAGAAGCATGAGCATGAAGAACAATTAGCTGTTACATATATCCATTTTAGATCTGGATCAAACTATAAAATGATGGATGAAATTGAAAAAAGTATTATCCCACTAATTCATAAATAACCAATAAAAAAATGCACATCATTAAATGATAAGGGAATGGATGAAGAAAAAAAAACTAGTGGTAATAAAGAGGATAACATTCCATGACTACCTACCAGAAACTCAATGATATGTTGAAGATCTTTAGATTAAAAATTATTATCAATTTTTTGTGGGTAAGCAAAGCCACAATGATCATGGAATTTACCCTAGTGGTGATTTATAATAGTTTCTCAACCCACATTTAATTTGTTAGTTGGGTAATAACAGCTCAACAAGAATTCTAATGCAGAACCAATTTAAACAAAAGATCCCAGGATTCAAGTTTAGAAAACACACTGCAAAAAGACATGCTATGAACCAAATTGATGTCCCTTTGTTTAGATGGTAATAGATATAAAAATTAAAAGGAAAATAGTCGTACATTTTGTCTGTAAGATTTGATGACCGCAATCAGCAACTTGTCTCCCGCTATTCGTCTCACTCTCTGTATCAGTTCATGTCGTGAAATCTTGTTCTCCTGCCAAAACAAGAGGAACATCAATAATAAATAAACAAATAAACAAAAAATCAAGAATAATAATAATAATAATAAAACAACACATACTTTTTTATCTTTGTAGAAGTTGGAGATAAGGGCAACATCAGACGGAGCCATAACCTTGGAAAGGACAGAAATCAGAGTCGGGAATGGCATCCACGGCGAAGAAGGCGTCAAAGGCTCTTCCTCACTCTTCTCATCAATCCCTACAAAATAAAACATATTTATTCACAAAACCACCAAACAAACACCATAGTAAAATAAATGAATTAAAAACGCATTATACCTTGGGAGGAAGGAAGCCTGAAGCTGACAACATAAGCAGGTAAAACATGTGTGTTCATGTTGTTACTCCAAATGATGTACTTGGTTGGAGCCGAAAAACTATCCACCCCAGAATCATAGTCGTCACAAGTAGGACAACATTGCTCTGTGTCACCCTCAACATCAACAATCTCAGATCTTCCGAGAATAACGCGGCACAGTAACGCGTGCCTCACACCGTCTCCCCCAACCACACACTCTTTCACACTGCAAAAAAAAGAAAAAAAGAAAAAAAAGAGAAAATATTAATTATAATTGGTAACCAACATCAGCATCAACAACATAATCATAATGATTAAAAGAGGTGGCGCACGTGCGCGAACCTTTGCAGAGGAGCGTCGTCGGGGGAGAGAAGTAGTCTGGGACCGTGTGCGTGAGCGAAGCCGTGCGAAACGATGTCGTTTACGTCGGTGTGGCCGCGAGTGGCGTACCAGGCGTACTTAACGTTGGCATTGGCGTGGCGAAGTTTTGCGACCGCCTTAGCGTAAAGATGAAAGGAGTGGAGACGCGCTTGCGAAACGGCGGTGGAACATGCGTTTCGTTGGACGGAAAGGACCTGGGTTTTGGGCCCGAGCGGGCCCAGTCCGCGAAGGAAGCTTGTCTTGATGAGGTCGTGGACGGCGTCACCGTGTGGGAGGGTAAGGAGAGGAGCATGGTGTTGCGCGGTGACGGAAACGGAGCTTTGGCTATCGGAAATAACGGAATCATCGTCCATGGTGTGTGTATTGTGTAAGAACTAAGGAGATAAGTGAGATGGTGTTTGTTTATTTATACATATATATATATATATATATATATATATTGTTGTGTTTAGTTTGCGAATTGCGATGGGCGGTGCAGAGAGTAAAAAAGTGTGAAAGTGTTGGCGCTGCTTGTTTTGGTGACAGAGGCCACTTGGTTTGGAAATTGAAATTTGAAACAGAGGAAAGAGGTTGCATTCTATGTACCCTCCATTTTCTGCCCATTTTGCATTTATGTCGTGTCACGTGTCCTTTGGCCACCACTGAATTATTCTATTTTAATCATCCCTTGCCGCAACTGGATTGGTCCGTGAGGGAAAGGGTGGATATGTAGTTTTAAGTTAACCGACTTACGGTGTCTTGGTGAACTCAAACACCTTTTATTTAGGACAAGACAAAGAAAGAGACTCCTAATTCACGGAGTAAGATTTCAACCCACAATACTTCACTAGTTACTCACTTACTTGTGTTAAGCTTGTGTATTCGACCTCACTGTTAGGCCTTGTAATGACAAGTTGTTTTTTAAGTCTACTAGGATATTAAATTTGGTTTTTAAAAAATAATTATACTAAAGGTGGATCCACGATCATCTTATCAATATCCTAGTCAATATCAAAAAGGTTTGCACTTGATAAGATCGATGAGAAACAATAGATTGGAGATAAAGACCATGATATAATGTATCTTTAAGATACTGAAGAATCCTCTTAATTGGAGTCCAATGAATTTTAAGAGGATGTGCCATAAATTGACAAATTTTATTGATCGCAAAACTAATTTGTGATCGAGTAAGAGTGACATATTGAAGTGCCCCAACAACTCATATGTAGAATGTTGCATCTACCAAAGTGTCAAAACATATCTAGAGAGTTTGCAACTAGACATCAAACATATCAATTTTCTGTAGAAGATCCTTGATATATTTGTTGTGTTAGAAGAATTGAGCCATTTTGTAAGTATCTTATTCCCAAAATGTAGTCAAGTTTGCCAAGTTGTTTTAGTGAAAAAGTGTTGTTGAGCTAAGTGATGAGTTGTGTAGTGAATAGGGATGGCAACGGGGCGGGGCGGGTACGGGTTTCATGATACTCATCCCCGTCCCCGCAAGTTAAACTCATCACCATCCGCGTCCCCATACCCGTCGGGTATAGATTTTCATCCTCATCCCCGTCCCCGTCGGGTATCGCGTATACCCGTACCCGTACCCATACCCGTACCCGTCAATTTTTTTATTTTTTATTTTTTGTAAAAAAAATGATATTTTTTAAATTTTTTTTAATTATATTATAATTATAATTAGGTTATTTCTTTATCTCATATTATAATAAATAATCACATATAAAAAATATTAATTTTTTTTAATATAATTAAATTGAAAGTGAATATTAAATTAAAAATGAGAACGGAGACGAGTACGGGTACGGGTACGGGGCGGGTAAGTACATACTCGTACCCGTACCCGTACCCGATTTAATATATCGGGTTTTACCCGTACCCGTACCCAAACCGGGTATTCCCCGTCAAAGTCGGGACGGGTTCGGGTATTACCCGCGGGTACGGGTATATTTGCCATCCCTAGTAGTGAATTGAGATGAACTTCCTGTAATGATAATATTGTCTACATAGACCAAGAGATAGACTACATTAGTTATGTCATGATAAATGGATAAAGAGGGATCCTGCTTGTTGGCTTTGAATAAAAATTGAATTAATGTGACTCGTAATCTATCAAACCACTGGCAAAAGGTTTGTTTTAGGCCATAGAGAGCCTTGTTTAGCTTGCAAAGTAGGGATGGATCATTGACTTCAAAACCTAGAGGTTGCTACACATATATAGATCGTTTCATCAAGTAACCCATTTAGGAAAACATTATTAAAATATAGTTAATAAATGTTCCATTGATTTGTAGAGCAAGTATGATGACCAGCTTGATGGTTACAAATTTGATGTATGAAGAAAAGGTTTCATTAAAATCAAAACCTTGTAGTTAATAGAAAATCCTTAGCCACTAATCAAACTTTATACATATTAATTGTACACTTATAATTTTTTTTTTTATTTGATAGACTCATTTGTAGCCTATGCCTAATCTATTAGGTGGAAGAGGAATAAGAGTCCATGTGTCATTATGAATCAATGCTATATATACTTATTGCATGGCTTCATGTTAGTTTGTCTTTTAGGGCTTGCTTGACACTTTTTTGGTTTAGAGTGGGTAAGAAAAACAAATGGATCTAATCAAGACTAAAGAATTCTAGATTTGGATATGGTTTTCATAGGATGTACATTTTGTGGTATATGAGGGGATGACTCAGTAGGGGGATTTGAGTTGATAATAGGTGAAGTGGAAGATGACTCTGGTTGAACATGAATATTTGTGGAGTTTGATTTGACAGGGAGTTAACAAATGATGGTTCTATAGGATCATGATGCTTGGTGTCTATATTAATGACATTGTGGATACTAGAATTGGGTATAATGGTTTGTGGAGACATAGGTTTTATGATAGGAATGAATGTTGATATAGGTTACGAAGAAGAGTGAGAGATGACAACTTCTGATGTCTAATAAGGAAACATTTCAGAGTATGGAAACTGGAATTCATTGAAAAAATCATCTTTAGAAATATAAATCTTTCTTCTAGGAGATAGGCATTTGTAACTTTTATGTGATGTGGAGTATCCCAAAAAGAAATCATGAGACCTAAATTTGAGTTTATGATTATTATAAGGTCTAAGAAGAGAGAAACAAGCACAACCAAAAGTTTTTAAAAATTATTAATCTGGTAGTTGCTTATAGAGTAGGAAATAAAAAAATTGAAGAAAGGAAATAGGTAGTCTATTTATGAGATAAACAATTGTAGTGAAAACATATATAGTCCCAAAATTTTAAAGGGAGAGAGGCATGACTGAGAAGTGTGAGACCAAATGCAATTATGTGCCTATGTTTCCTTTGAATAAATTTGTTTTAATGATGAATATGAGGAAAAATGAGTCGATGATTAACTTTTAAATCCTTTAGATGATTATTCAGAGGTTTGAATTTCCCTCCCCAATCTATTTGTAAGTTTTTAAGAAATGTGTTGAATTGTAATTTTGCTATGACTTTAAGTTGTTTAAAGACAATGAAAGTATATGATTTATTTTGTGGTAGATAAATCCAAGTAAACTTAGAATAGGTATCAACAAAGGAGAGGTAGTATCTATAGTTATTAGAAGAGGTCATAGGGGTGAGTTCCCATAAATCACGGTACACCAATTCTAAAGGAAAGTGATAAATAGTTTCAAAATGATTAGATGAAAGATGATGTACATTGCAACACAACATGCAAAACAAAAGAAATCATTGCTTTTATTTGAAAAAGAAATATTACATTAGTGTAGTGTAATTTTGAGTACATAGTTATTTGAATGACCTAATCTAGCATGCCACAATGAGTAAGATGTAGATTTAGTATTATTGAACAATTAGAATTACTGAATTGGAAACTAAACATGTAGTTGAAGGTCTTGGTGCGACATGAAGTTGTAAATTCGAGAAGGAGTAGAGACCATCAGAATCAACATTCCCTCTCACCAACATTTCATTGGTGACCTAAGATTTAACAAAGCAATGAGTGGTATGAAATTCAAAATAAACTGAATTATCTCTATCAAACTTAGTGACACTTATTATATTTTTTTCTAATGGAAGGAACATATAAGATATTGTGAATAGCTAATGACACATTAAAGTTGCAAGGAGAGACTAAAAATGATGAACTAGAAGAGTGTATGGACAAACCTTATCTATTACCTATAAATATTTAGTCAGGACCTTCAAATAAATTATTCTATTGAATATTTTGTTGATCTCTAAAAACATGATAAAAAGCTCTTGAGTCTGGAAAGTAATTTATAGGAGTAGGAGTTGTGGCTTTGTTGGCAATCATAACACTAGGTTGTTGAGGATGAGTTGGTGGTCGAGGACTTTGACTCCATGTCTTTTGAGAGCCAAGTTGATTGGTTGTTATGAGTGATAACGATTTTGTTGTGGCACCATGTTTGCATTATAAGAATTTTTATAAATATGTGAATAGGATCCCTAAAAACTGTATGTTGTTGTAGGTTGATAATTTTGATCAAACATATGATAGCAATTTGTAGCAATGTGGCCACACTTATAACATGCTTGGCACTGGGTTAACTCATCGAGTTGACCTATATATATATTTTTTTAATTTTTATTTATTGAAATTAATTTATGGTATTTTATTTGTGGCTTATTTATTTATTAAGACTGATTTGTAATTGTATTGTGTGTTTATTTTATTGTTGTCAATGAATTTATTTTAATGTTGTTGATAAAATTATTATGTTTTTTTAATATATTTTATATTTGAATGATAAAAAATTATGTATTTTTTTAATAATTTATATTATTTAAATTCAGTTTATTTTATAGACATTTTTAATAATATTATAATTTATTTATGCATATTCATTATATTAAAATATATTTTTATAATTTAAAATATATTATAAAAAATATGTTGAGAAGTCGGGGACCCTAAACCCTGTTAAGTCAGACGAAACAATTCCCAATAAGGTTTTGAATGAAACAAATATAATGCATATTGTTATTTCTAACGAGTGCGCTAGTGCTTCAGATAAACACAAGTACATGCATGATGAAGACTAGAGTATATGCATGTACCACTTGTTACACCAGAACCAAGACAAAAATGAGTTAAGCACCAGGTGTAATCAAAAGGAGGATATACACTGGACAAAATTACCTACAAACCACAAACCTTGCATCACAACAAATTCAATCTTTCCTTTCCAACAAAAACACAACGCAAAATAAAGAACAGGGCATGAGAAACCAAGATAAATGGTAAAAGTTACAAGACATTAGATGAAGGGATCAAACGAAATCAAACCTAGCACAAAAAGGAAAATAGTGAAGCCTCAAATGATGCAAGACTACAGACGATGGACAAAAGCATCTTAGACAGAATTAAAAGTCTGAACAGTTGATCAGCCAAAAAGAAAAGTCAAAGTCTATCTCTTAGACGGAGACTCAAACTTCTAGACAAAAATGAAGAATGTTGAACTACGTCTGAAGTCTACTAAGTCACAACGAGAAGTACTGCTTATCATCCACACTCTCAGAAGAACAC